CCCAACAAGTGCACTGTCGGTCTCCAACTTTTCTTCCAAAGAAACCGTAACACTAGAAATTTCCCAGTATTTCCATTAAACATTGGGCTTTCACAGTTTAAAATATTCAGCTGAAATATTCAAAAGTCACATCTTCCAAAACAATGCACTCTTACTAGCATGAAGAGAGTATTTTAAATGCTGGTATTATTTAAACCAGAACACTATGGAGAATTTAATATTAATTTTGTTTTTCATACCTAGTTGCAAGAGATGATGGAAGTCAGTTATAGCTAATCAGAGGAAACAATTCATTATTGCAGTGGGCGGCCTGCATCTGAAGTATAAACTCCAATCTGATCCTTGCCTAGTGGGATTATTCCTCACTGGAGTTTAGTACTAACCTTTATCACCCACTCAAATTTAATTTTTATAAGAGTTGTACTTTTATTTCACTAAGCAGAAGTACACAAAGAACAAAAGAGCTTGCTAAAAGCCATGAATTAGGAAAAAAAAAATCAGAGCTGGGACTAGAAAACCACAGAGAAAGGCAGCAAGAATCATCATGGAACAGAAGAGGTTTCATTTGAAGAGAAGCTAAAAAACTAGAACTCCGTGACTTGGAGAAAAAAAAACTTCAAGAGCAGTAAAAAGCAGATGAACAGGAAAAAGACTGTTCATAAAATTCTCAGAATACAAGAACTAGGAGTCACCAAATGAAATAAGGTGGTGTGGTTCGAAACAAACAAAAGGAAGTACTTTTTCACCCAGCACATAATTATATTGTAGAATTATTAGACACAGGATGTTGCAGAGGCCAGAAATACAAAGAGATTTAGAATTTTAAAAAAAAAAAAAAAAGGAAAGAAAACAAAATAAAATAAAAGGAAAAAGAAAAAGAAAGTTTCTTCTGTGAATCTTGCCTAATCTATCAAGGGCTACTAAATGCAGCGATGCAGATGCCGTTTCCTTTTTGCAAGCCCTTCAGACTGCGGTGGGTCAGGTCTGGAGCAGTACAACAGGGGAACTGCACGTCCCTGTTCCGTACATCTGCCACTCAGCCCTGTCAGGCAGGGCAGGGATGGCACATGGTAAAGCACCACAGCACAGGACAGCCACTCTTGTGAGGAGATTGGCTTGGTTACAGACCATTAGGTAGGTTGCTCAGACCTGATTTTAACCAGCAGAGATCTGATGAAAGGACAGGAGCACTCACATTACTGCACGAGTGACTGCTCCACTCTAAGTAAGATTCCAGCTTTTTCAGTCTATAGCCCTCCCCTGCCTCATCCTACCCAAACTGCTGAGGTCCTTCCATTCCAACTGCAAAGGATACTGGCTCTTTTTTTTTGGTTCGTAGGACATGACGTGACCATGACCTTCTTGAAACAGCGTCTGTAGTGATGAGCCTTACAGAGCTGAAAGACATCAGTTTAGATTGGTGTCACAGCAGCTTGGAAATACTGTCTTTCATTAAACCAGAAGATTAAATGCCGGCATCTGTCTTTTAGGCACCACAATTCTGTATCTACTTTCATTTTGTTGCTGTTGAAATGCATTTTGCACTAAAATGCAAAATTTAATTTCCCTTTCAGAGAGAAAGCTGTGGGGTTTATTTTACCGCATGCCCTACTATACTGTAACAAAAGGAATGTAAAAGTTTTTACCAACATTTACTTTATAAGTCTCCAGTCTACATGACTGTGAGTAAAGCAGTAACTATCATCCAACTTTTGAAGTTTCTTGTAATTGCTCTATATGAAAAATCTGTATTTTAATTGAGATCTTTCAAAACAGTGATAAGTATATAAGGAGAAAGTAGTCCTTGATAATTTGAGGTGCTGCAAAAGTATGACTTACATCCAAGTTAAGTGTCAGACTAGAAATACTAGAAAACTTCCAAAAGACTCAGTGGCAGCTTATTTACAAATATACTATTTATAATGAATGCATTGATACAGAATGACTCTTATAAAAAAGCAAGGCAATCTTTTATATAGACATAACAATCAACATTACAATAATTCAGATTAAAAGTACATTTTTATAGACTGTTTACACTCTTACTTAGCTTTTAACCACAAAATTAGTGTGGTCTGGTATTTTTCCACAGCAAAGGTCCTGTGCAGTCCTGGTTAAGACCTAAATCAGAATAAAAAAACATAACTTTTTGATATTTGCTAATGTAAAAACAAAACCCATTTGTAGATACCGTCATTTGTTTATAATTGTCCTTACTGTGCCTTGAAGTTTGTGTTGTGCAAATTACTGCCAACTGCACATTTCTAACTAGAAGCTGTCCTGGCATGTCCATTGATACAACTGAGGTGTGAAACGTGAAAATTCTTAGTTACGTCCAGATATGAAAAGTCTCCTGATATGGATTTGTGCTGATTCAGAAATTTAATTTATTTTGGGGTTTAAAAAAAAAAAAGGGAGGGGGAATAACCTCTCAACATTTTCTAATTGTTAAATAAAAGATATTTTTCAAACTCCCAGGATTAAAGGTGACACTTGAATTTCAGGTGACACAATGGGTTTAAGCCACAAACCAGAGACAATCTAAGTACTACTTGTCTAAATCATGTACATGGGCAAACACGACCTTCAAGAAGTCTACACATGCATGTTCCTCACCTAGAAAAAACCTAAATCAAAGAGAGGCACTGAAGCAAATATTCTACAACCCAAATCTCTTTCTAAAAAGGGTGCATGAAGGTCACATTTCGATTGGCATCTGCCAAACTGAAAAGTCCCAATTGCACAATGCTGTGACCCAACTTTACAAGCAGCATTTCCACTGCATTAATACTTGACAACTTTGGTGACAAACTAAAATACAGGACAACGAGAGACACAACTTTAAGGGGTTTATATTAAAACATTCTTGAAAAGAATTATCAAACATCTTCCTATTTAGTAAATTAAAATTCAATATGTAACCAACATGAGTCACAACAGCAATTACTCCTTCTTTTCATTATTTAGCAAATCTCTGACCTGCTCTATACCTTACCAGACTTCCATAATACTATACAGTCTACAATAATTTAGCTTGTTTAATCAAGGCATGAGTCAGGATAGTGTCTTTATGGGGCACGTGTATGTATGTACATAGGCACAGACACGTACAAAACTGATGTTTTGTCTAGGGACAAGCAATCAAGGTCATGATTTTCACCAAAAGTAAAGATTGTCACGTTTTTCAATAACCATTCTAAATTATTTCCCCCAGTATGGCAAGGGGGATAAATATTTAATACAAGTACCTGGGAATCACTTGTTTTCAAAGATGCTGTAAATAATTAATTTCTCCACCTTGTCTATGCTTTCATACATCTATGGATACACAAATACATTTTTGTATGTATGCGTACACACCCTTGTCAGAGTGAAGATCTTTCCATTCATACCTTAACTGCTATGGGCAAAAAAAATTCTTAAACATGTATAAGCCAGTATGTGTGTCCAACTGAATGTCACCAGGCACTAAATACAATTTAGAAACTAGCTGTTAACAATCCAGCATCCTGGGAAATGCAAAAAGTCCATCATGTCAGGATGTAAGACTGTTTTGAATGATCAAACCATGTGGATTTATATGGATCTATGTACAGATTTGGATATAAATCCATGTATGTACTTATATGTCTTCCCAATCCTTGCCAGATATTCAATACTTAAAATTAATCTTAAATTAAAGCACAACTTTAAAGAACTGTTCTTCTGAGTTGATTTTTCCTGTACCAGAACTTCTCTCACACTGCTTTTATTCAAATCTCTCTTGAGACACTGCAAAAATAAGCATTCACCTCAGAGTGTGTAAAATTAAGCTCCTAAAACAGGGCTCAGGATTATCTGGCATTGCAACAACCATACTAATACAAAGATAGTTTGAAAAAATATCCTGTTTTTAATATAGTAATGAATTAAAACATAGCTTTATTTATTCCTATAAGTGTATTGAAAAGAATAGTTTGTTTTTAAGCGAGTGTAATGAGCACTATTTTGGTAGCCAACGTCTCCACAAGGATGTATGTGAGAGAGGGTCAGCCCCAATCATACAGTCATTAACCATGTACCTTAACAAGGTGAATCATCAACGTATTTACAAACTAAACAAATTCAATCCCGTCAACTCTTATAAAAATGGGATTGAGGAGCAGACAGGGAATGAGACCAAGACGCTTGAAAACACAAGGGGTCGCCACTTTTGTTTCAAGGAACCATATTAATCAAACCAGTTTCCCCTAGTGACCTGAGGGCACAAATACGGACTTAGCAGTATATTCAGAAGTTAGATTACAGTCTTGATACTAAGCAGTTCAGCATCTTCATATTTTAACACCTTAATGCTGAGAAAGATTAACCCAGGCAGAACTGTAAGGAACTAGCCTTTTATAAACTAAAGTCTAAACTGAAAAGCTACAGTAGATGTAAAAAAAAAAAGGGGGAGGGGGAGGGAACAGAGACACAGAGTGTGTGAGAAAGAACAGACATTACTTAGTAAAATCCAGTGACATCTACAATACTTTTACAGCATGTTTAAGCCCTCTAAGGTTTTATATCTCCACCTGCCTTCCATTTAAACTTACTTCTTGTTAATGAAAAGATGTACGACAAAACAAAATGAAAATAGATCAAAGGAATACATCTAAATAAGCACGCCTGAAAGCCAGAAGTAATATTCCCAAACTTCTGCATGTGAAACAGATTTCCCATGGCATCAATTGATTTGATTTTGTGCAAAAGGTACAGTCCTCTAAGTCACACTACGCCAGCAGCAATTCCAATGAGTATAAATTGAACAGTTCTTGGGGAATCATGGAATGCAACCACCTCGAGTTCCTACCCTCCTGAAAAAGGACAGCAAAAGGCCCTACCAACGCAGCAATAGTGTAAATCTCCCTGAAGCATCTTCTGCCTTTTAAACAACCGAGAAATTAATGATAAAACTGAATGTCCACCACTTACAGTGTTTCTCTTGAGCTACCAACATCTCTGCACAAATGAAAAAGGTGCCTCTTTTTTAATAGATCGGTTTAATACTGAAACAGATAGGATGAAGTTAAAAAAGAATAATCAAGATACTGAACTGAATATTTTGAAGCAAGTGCCCCAGCTGTGGGGAAAAGTGCATTTAGTTCAGCAGCAAAACAGCACAGTGTGAAGATATTGTGCTTGGACACAGAAGTTCCGTAATGGAAGGAGGTACAAGGCAAGTCAAGATATAAAACCATAGTACATTGTTAACCAACCTTAAAACTTACATATATTGCAGTGTTTAAAAGTAAGACACATTCATTTATTGTACAAGGTCTAGGGAATCCTTAAAATTGCCTGTTGTAGTTTACGACTCAACATTGTAATAAAAATGTACATATATATTATTTCCTTGTCACTTAACTGCACTGTTAGACCTCATGGACTTGTTACTTCACACAACGAAAACCGCTCTTCACTGAGAATAGTTGACGTTTTTACCAATCTGGAAAGGTTTACTTTGTGCTAGAAAAGACCAACCGCAAAAGGCTCAGTTCAGATATGTTATGCCTGCAACTGATAACTCAGGGAAGCAAGACTTAAAGGAATTCAAGCTTTTTTTTTTTTCTTTTCGTTTTGACTGCATCCTTTTCACCTGCCAGTTGTTCTGATGAGTATATGTTTTTAGTATACAAACAGGTTGATAAAAATTCATCAGCAGAGGCATATAAATTCTAGATATGATTGATTAAAACAGAGCAAATCAGAATAAAACAAGATCCAGTGATTTACTCTGACTGTAAACAATATAAAAACACCATTTGCTTCAAATCTCAAAATAAGTTAAAAGAAAATCCCAACCTTAGGGCACATGACCCTTTCAGGTTTTGACACAAAAAAAAAGGGGGGGGGAGGAGAACAGAAAAGTTCATTATATAAAGGTTATACATTTCTCTTAACTGAAAGTAAATCTAAGAAAAACTGGTTTTGTCCCTTAAATTTAAAATTTGAGTTCATTGGCAATTGCTTTAAATGAACTGGCAATTTCAGATTATTCAGACAACTTCCATCAAGTTCAGCAAAGAAAACTTAGACAAGCATTTTTACAGAATAAAAAAAATCTAAATGGCTATGATTCCTCTATTAGCAGAAACACATAATGCAGTCTTAAATTTGCCTTTTTATATTATTTATATATTTATATATATATATAATATAATATAAACCACATATATTATATTATATATACATATACAGACAATTACAACATTAATGCAGTTTGTATTTTGTACAGTGTATTGGACAATTCAATTAGCATCAGACCATGGCACGATATGGTCCCTGCATTTTTAGGAACTGAATGATGAAAGAGGGTCCTCCTGCAACAATCTGAGGTGGAAGGTGGCTGAGCGGGCAGTTCTCAATACTCATTATTGACAGTTTGCTGCAAAGAGCCAGCTCAAAGGGAAGGCTGTGCAGATTGGGGTTGTCATTCAAATACAGTTCTTCCAGATTCTCCAGTGTACCTGGTTAAAATAAAATAATAAATGCTAGTATCTTTTTTACTCATGCAGTTTATAACTTTTAGACAGAGGCTCTGAGTCCACTTGAAGATTCTTTCTTATACAGAATACTGAGTCACTCACTCATCCAGACCCCTGTTTTCAAGCATAGCAATTTCTGGTAACTGGTACCTAAGCAAGAACCAATTTGCTTTAGTTTCGCTGTAAAAATATCCATTGCTGCATCTCCTTTAGATAATAAGCAAATACAGAGTATAAGAGAACTGAGAGGGGCTTCACCATAACCATTCAGACAAGAGCTACGCGACTGCAAGCAACACTGAACAGCTATTTAGTCAGAAGGACTTAGAAAATACATACACCATACAGTCTCTATTATCTCTTTAAAAACCAACTATGTCATACCTTTTATGTAAATAGAAGCCATACATTAAAGACCTGAAGCTGTAACTGTCATGTATCACAGGAAGAAAGCAGGAGTGTCTCTCTGCACAGCAGTGAATTTATTAAATGGAACGAACAAGTGTGAAACTTTTTTCCTGAACTGAAATTTTACAACCTGCCTCTGCTACGGATACTGCAATACAGATTAGCCAGAAGCTGGAAAACAGAGCAATTTCCTCATTCTTAAGTCTTCCATTCCTCCTTTGAAAAACACAGAAGTTCTCCTTAAAACATTTTCCAATCTTATATACCATAAACATCTCCTGTAACCTAAAAGACTATTTAATCTTTCACAAAAGAAAGCAGTAGCCAGGAGTCGTAGCATGGAAAACCCACAAAAAGGAAAAGCTATAGAAAAAATAATGAGAAATAGTTGATAACATGATACATGAAGCAGTCACCACTAACTTATGAACTGCATTACAAAGCTTCAGGTTTAGATAGCTTTAGGCTTTTTGCACATTTAGGTACATACAAGATGAGCAGAAGCTGTAATGGCTCTTCACTAAAGATGCTGGGACAGACCATCTGCACATCGCTGTTTCTGACCACACTGTGCTTTGTGTAGCTTGCCCCATCATTTTTTCCTCCAGAATAAGCTTAACCATAAGATTTGAACATCTATTTGATGCTCAGAATCATGCTCTGGACATATATCCTGGCCACTAATTATAAAACAAATATGGGCTCTCAGTTTCAGATGCTCTGAAACCATCTAGTCTGAATGTCTCAGGTAGACCAAAAAACCAAAAAAAATCCTATTCCTTCCTTTGTTTCTGTAGATTTCCTCTTCTTACCTCATCGAGGTGAAGAACAATATGATGGCCTATAAACAAAAGCATGTGCAGAGGTACTTCCAGGAGAAACATTTGCTTCAGCTGTCTACACTTTACATAAGGGTTTTGTTTACATCATGGCATTAGAGTAGGATCAGTGCATTTCCTTTCTCTTTCCAAGAATAGATTCATGAAGTTGAGTGATGGGTAATACACAAATTGTGGGAGAATTTGGAGAGAAAAGGAATACATTAAAGTTAGTGTGTGTTCAGCAGCTTTCTGCAGCAGAACTGAAAAAAACAGAGCAAGCTTTTCACTACAGTTCAGCAAGATAAAGATCATACACTCTAGTGCTGCTCCTGTGGCACATGCTTCACATCAGGTTGTGCATATTTAGAAGTTTCAAATGAATTCTGTGGCTTTTACGTATGAGCAGAGTAGATGCCTATCACAAGTGCTTTGGCTCAGGCATGCTGCACCAAACCAGAAAAAGGGATCTTACCAATTTCCTCAGGAAGATGCGTGAGAAGATTCTCTCCGAGCCCAAGGTGCGTCAGATTGGTAAGGTGACCGATACCTCTGGGAAGGGTGGTCAGCTGATTGTTAGTCAGAACCAATTTCTAAGGGAAAAACACATTTATAAAAATTAACCTAAGGACTTTTCCTTGGAACGACAGCAAGTAACAAGATAGAAAGCTGATAAATGGATGGGTTCTACTCTCCTGCATTTGAGCAAGAAAAATTTCAACCATTCAACAACATTTCAAAGCTCTATTAGGCATCACTAAACATAAAAATAAAATAGTGCATAATAAAACACACACCTGAGCATAAAAGATTTCATGAGTATGACTGAAATCAGGGGCTATTCCTGTGGTGGTACTGTAGTTATGGTACAACAGTTAAAAGCTTCAAAAATTGTTTGTTCAATATTAACTAATGAAGCTGTGGAACAATTAGTGGGGACTAATTGTGGGTGAAGCTGCACAAGATTCTTAAGTTTTGGTTCTATGTCCAGTCTCAAACAGCTGTAATTAAATCAGCATGGTGTAAATAAAGGACGTAAGATGTTTATCACGACCAATTATTGTTTCACCTGCAGATCCTTGAGGTAAGCTATTTCATTTGGCAAGGATTCCAGTTTGTTTTCCTCTAGATCTAACTCTCGGAGTTTCCGCAGATTTCCAATTCCATGGGGAAGTTTCTTTAGGAGATTGTTGGACAAGATAAGAACCTAAAAAAAACACCAACAAACCCAAACACACAGAATTTCAGCAGCGCAGTAAGTAACAGGTTAAGACACAATCTTTTTATATTTTCAAGCAATGAAATCCAAGATTAGCCTACACATACATCATACGGAAGTAATGAAAATTTTAAAACAAACAAAACCCAAACCAAACAAAAACTACAAACAAACAAAAAACCAACCAAAAACCCCAATCAACAATAAGTCAGTGATTTAACATAATTTTTTTAAAGTCTTTAATGATACAAATACATTTAGGGCATACTTCTTTCAAATATTGTTATACATAATAATAAATGCAAAGCAAAAACAAAAAAGACCTTATTTCTTCAAATGACCAAAGAAAAACAACTTCTCCCTGGACTTGCCTATCATTTTGTTATGCTTCCTTATAGCTATCTCATAATCATGTTTTACATTATTTGCTGTGCTTGCCAAGTCCTCCTTAAAAAGCTTAGTACTTCCTCTTCTCCCTCTGTCCCTTTGGTTAGGAGCACCAGCAAATAAACATAAAGAAGGAAGGACCTAAGCAGAAAATCAGCACAACACAGGTACCCACTGCCTTTCCAGAACAGTCTCCTATCACTCACCCACCCCTACTACAATGCTATCCTCTTGTTTTTATCCTCCTTTCTAAGTTGAATTATAAATACCTCAGGTTCAAGAAATGCATCCCCATTTACAGTGTCAATTAACAGAGTTATTCATTATTCCACAAGTTAACAGGGGGTTACACTAATATACCATTTTTTCTCCCAAGAAGTCCTGCAGTTCTTAGAAGTAATCAAGCCTCAGCACAGCAAGTAATCAGGTAATTAATTACTGACAAACCAATGCTACTATCTAGTTATTTAAGAAGGCACATTGAAACACGAGCATGTGAAAAAGCAGCCAGTGTGGACCCTGGTCCCAGCCACACACAGCCAGCCAAGGCTGTAAATGCCTGTCCCAACTCTTACTGGCTTCACGTAACATGGAAACACCAAAGGCAGGAACAGAACAGAAACAAGGTTCAAATCAAAGTGAAAATCAAAATGAAAAAAAGCCAAAGCATTAGCACAAGCAGTATTTCAGTGACCTTCCTTTATGCACTACGATATACACAGAATGGTAAGAATAGTAATGTTTTAATCACGTACAAGAAACAAAGGCAGGAACAGAAAATATTACCTACGTGCAAAGCAGCTGACTTAGCACTGCTGTGGGAACCTTCCCTTTTGTGTAAACACTGCCCAAATAGCTCTTTGTATTTGGTTCTTTAATTACAGAGAAAAACAGTGGCAATGGGTCTGCAGACCACGCAGCTCTCCAGCTTCAGCAGCAGACAGACCACCAGCAAATCCAGTTGTTAGGTTACTAACTTCCCAGTCACATCAACCACAGCCTTAAACTTAAAAGGGAACCGGGCCATTAAATAGCTGCTACTCTGTCATGTAATTTTTCCCCAAACTACAGGAATAATTAAACATTCACAGCAGAAGTCACACTAGAAATTCACAATCTCAAACATGCCATTTGCTATTGTTCTTTACCAGACTTTTCCCAGCAACTCAGAGAGGTTACAAAGTCCCCTCAACTGCCCAAACAAGTACCTCTGCCTTTATGTCCCTCCAGGGTAATTAATTTGTCTCTGCTGATGGTACCTTGGGAAACAGGATGAGGGGACACAACAGGTGTAGTTCACAGCTTCAACCTACAAGCTCTTCCCCCTCAAAGGCTGAGAATTCCCACCTGGCTGCCTACAGGGTTCACAGCACTACATTCAAGGCACCTCTGGCTGTAGACTATTTCATTATGCTTTTCTGATCCCTGCTGCTTCCATGCTGGTCTCCTGGAATTGAACCAAGTTCAGTGCCATTGCATTTACAAAACTAACTTTCTGTTGAGGAAGATTTTTTTTCTACATAGCTAAAAATATATCTGTGCTTAGTTGTTTATGCACAGACACTCATCTAGAGCTTAAAGAACAACATTCAAAAAGCTGTTGATGACAGCCATAAACAGATGCAAGAGCAGATTAAGTAGCACACATACACATTTATTTGGTTTTATTTGACCCAAAAGTAATATAACTTAAACCTGAAGCAAAGAATGCCTATTTTGAGGGATTCACTTAGCTGTTAGTTTACACTCTTCTCACCTCAAGAGAAACAAGCCCAGATACATCCTCAGGGATTTTTGTGAGCTGATTAGTCGCTAAGTTCAGTTCTACCATACTAGTCCAAGTCCCGAAGTCCAAGGGGAGAGAGGTCAGCTGATTGTCCTGTGATTTAACATATCAAACACTTAAGGTCTGCGCTTGCAAGAACTTGGCAAGAGATTAAACAAGCTGCTTACAAAAAGACTTCATAACAACATAGTCGATAATTAAATCAGAAGAATACATTGATAATTGGCCAGTTTCTTTTCAAATTCCTCCAAAAATAAGTAGTACCAACCCAGAGTTACAGAATTGACTCTCTGTTACTGATATGGACTGAAGTGGAAAAATTAAAAGTACATTATTCTCAAGATTGTATGCATCCCAGTGGTTAAAACAATTTTCATCCTATTTTTGCTGAATACAATGGAGGGTGGGGGGAAAAAAAGAAAGAACAGAAAATCCTCCATAAGTTACAAAGGTGCTATCAGCAATGCTTGAATCCTAAAAATATAGGGAGTTATAAAAGAAAATGCAAACAAACCAATGAAAAGAAAAAACACCACCACCAAAAAATACCATCATAATTAACAGAAAAAAAAATAAACATACAAAAAACCCCACAAAAGAACACTCTCCCCCCACCAAAAAAAAACAACCCTATACCTAAATGGCTCAGAGTAAAAGCATCTGAAATTAATCTGAACATCTTATTGCTCAAAATGTTGCTGTAATACTTGATCTAGACCCAACATCACGTAATCTTTAAAAAAATGTTCATACAAAGTCCTCATAAACAGGCAAAGTTACAAATGGGTATGTGATAAAAACCAGCCAATGCAAATTGAGACCCCATTTGTGTCAAACTATATTCTAAAACAGTAGCTGAACTTACCTACTGCTCAAACATTTCCTTTTTAAAATAATTTAAGAACTTGAAATAAACCTATTCATAGAAAAACACCATCTCTTTTCCCTACTTCTCTTCACTCTATATAGCACACTTTAAAAGTTCTTTTGCTGTGCTCTGCAACTACTGCCCAAAGTCTCCAAACTTAGATTTTGAAAAATATATAAAAAAATATTTTACATAATTTTGTTTATAATCTAAACTGTAACAGTGTGTGAGGGAGAAATAAACTTATCTACATGCTTGTGTCCCTCATGAATATTCAAGAACCTTGCAACCAACTTTCTTTTTTTCATTGCTCAAACTCAAGCAAATGTGACAAAATCTTAACTAAAAAGCATAAAGACAAATAATTAACGTCGATAGTACAATATTTGACTAATACAGAATTGTTTCTGTACGTGACAGCAGCAGCATCCAGTTCAGTGTAATAAATTCATTCCTTATATCATTAGGTCTGCCAGAATTCACGGAGCAGCAAACAGTGTTCCTCATTGATTTTACACAGTAGCATGTTTCTGTGCCTCACCTTCATGTTCAGCTTACTTAATACTTTAGCTCTAGAGAAAATTCCAAAGGGGATTTTATTGATGCGGTTGTGCTCCATATTGAGAGAGTAGATTGTGGAGAACTGGGACGGGCCACCCACAGGATAGGACTGGAAGCAGTTCCTGGCCAGTGTTAAACTAGTCAGTTTGACAAGGCTGGATAAAAGACCCTGTAGAAAGAAGAAAACCACCCAGGAACTTAGGACAGATTTATTTGAATACATCTCACTTCCCTTATGGGTCTAATTAGAAATGTTTCTCCCCCCTCAATTCCATCCCCTAAGTAAGTGTTGCAACACACAAACCAGTGTTAAATTTGATAAAACTGCCATCAACAACAGTCTCTGCTCACAGTCACCAGCCGTTACCTTATTTCCCCCTTCCTCCTTGCAAATTGACAGAAACGAAAAAAAGAAAACGTACCACATTTAAAAGCACAAGTTTAGGAGATTTGGGAACTCTTTTGTCCTCTGAAAGTAATCTTTGTAATGACACATTGCTACAGGAGTGCAGGGACAGTGTGCCCATCCTGAGCAGCAGTCCCAGCTGTGGCCAACGCTGCCCACCTGCTGCTCACCCAGTTCTGACACCACAGCTGAGAGAGGGGCCCAAAGATGTATCAGCCTCGTGCACTGGCTTCCACAACAGGCCTTTGACACTTCCAGTATGAATCTTCGTTAATTTAATAAAAATCCATATGGTGATCACAACTGGTAGAAGTTTCTTGTCAGGCCATAACAGTTTCAGATAATCAGACAGAACAGACAAAAAGAATGGGAATGCTTTGGAAATTCCATGTTTTTTTCCTGTTTATAAAATATTCCTAAGTATTTAGTACTCCATCTGCCCCCCTCCTTAAGAAATGAAAAGCAAGAAGCCTGGAATTACACTGTTGTCCATTGAATCCAGAGTTTCATTTCTCTTTGCAACCTAATTAGATTCTGAAATCTCAGCAGTGCATATCTCAGTTTATCTGTTAGTTATGTGCCAAGCACGTTGCTGGAACTGTGGAGATGAATAATGAGATTTAAATTACTGCTGAAGTGCCACCTTTGCTTATTACTACACCAACTTGAATTTGGGCCTATTTGATTATGTATTACAGAAATTGGAGATTTATGCATGGCATTACATACCATAAATAATGCAACATCTGCAATCAGGAATGAGTGGTAACAAGATAATGATTCCAACCATATTCCTAATGTCAGTATTTCTGGATTGCAATTTGAGTGCTATATTCACTGTAACACAAGGATTTGCTGTTTCACCAGGAAAGCTTTGGTTACTTTTATAAATAGTTTATTAACGTTATTGTAAATGAAACAGTATTAAATAGGGACTTGTCTGCATGTCATGGCTAAAACTTTAGACACTGGGGGCATCTCAGTAAGTATTAGTGAAGCACTTTTCCCCCTACAGACAAAATAATGGATCTTCAAATCAGTATTAATCTAACCTAATCATTAGCTAGTATAATCTTTGATTAGGAAATATTGCTTCTACCTATACTTTAATTAACAGATATTCTTTTTTCCTAGGGTTAGGCAGTCCCTGAGCTCTGTTACTAACACACTTTATTGCTCCAAATGGATCTTGGCATTTCAAAAAGCCATTTTTGAAGTCTGCTTGCATACCAAAAAAATATCAAAAATATGTTAGCTAATACACTGTAATAGCCTAGAGTAATTAAACACATTTGAAGAGAAGCAAGAGAGCTCTGGCAGTACAAAGAGAACAATGCTCTTACATCTATGAGAGCTGTGGCAGCGCTGCCTTCTCCCAGCCCATCCTTTTAAGATAAAATATTTATTAGTCATTGTGTCAGCAGCTTCAGCTATGTTTTGAAATTCAAAAATTTCTTCTACAAGTACAGTTCTTTGTCTTATAGCACAGCATGTTTTATTTTAAACAGATTACAGTATAAACTATGTACTTGTGCAAGGTAGCAGCTTAAGTGTTAACTTATTGTTGGCAAATATACCCGAGGAAGGCAGCACAGTCACACAGAGGTTTGTACTGCAACTGAATGTATTTTAAAGCAAGTAATCTTCCCTCACATTAGCTTTCTGTAATTATACCATAGTTGTTTTTATAACACCTCTGGGTGGGGTGGGCTAGCTCAGCTCTCATCTTAAAAGCGGCCTGGTTGCTTTCACTCAGCATTTTCTTAAATTACAGTGTGTGCCCAAATACTTGTTAAATGCTCTGTTTTCAGTCTATCATTGCCGAGTTCAAAAATTTATCTGAAGGAAACTAATCACTCACTGCACTTCATTACTAAAAGTATTTTGTCTAACTCCAAATGCATTTTGGGTTTTTTTCTATGTATAGTTCCCTAAACCCATCTTTAGACAACCATTTAACTCATTTTATCCTAGTAATTTAGACAACTTTGGAGTGTGCGGATGACAGTTTAGGAAAGCAGTTTGGACCATCATTAAAACAGAAGAGACTATAAACTTTATGTTGTGTCCTGAAACCTTAATTTCAGAAGGTTCTAAAGAAATGGAAAAAATATCCAAAATAAGAAACAATCACAACAATCTTTTTTTCTGTTATCAGAGCAATTATTTCCAGGCACTAATGCTTCATAAAACAGAAACACTGAGAAACACTTATGTAGCTGAATGGGGGGAACCTGGACTTATTACTTAAAGTTCTCTAAAGAGACAGGACAGCAAATACAATCTCATGTAGCTCCCAGTTTTAACTGAAGTTGTATGACACTAGTTCTTCCATACTAATTTGATATACCTAATATGTGTAGAATTGCAGTAATTCACATTACACACATGTAGATTAAAACAAGGGGTATTCCTCAGAGGTAGGATGCAAGACAAAAATCACTTCACATGTTCCACTCCCTTTACAAAACACCGATGCCCTACAGCAGCATTTCCTCCCCAGTCCACTCCTTCTAATTCTCACCTCTGGCAAAGTGGAAATGTTGTTGTTCTCCAAGTTCAGTTCATCAAGTTCACTGCATTTTGCTAAAGACTTCGGAATTGCTGACAGCCTATTGTACCTCAGGCCAAGACGACTTAGACTGGACAGATTTCCTATAGGTAGAAAACAGGTATTAATATATTGTTAGAATCACACAGGGGCAAAGTTTGACTTCTGATTCTTCTATTGTCTCAAACTCTAAATTTCAAAATTTCATATGGTGCAAGGGAACTATTATCCCAAAACAAAGAGATACATCGATTCCAGTCTTTTCAATGCTGAAGTCAACCATGCAGAAGTAGATTGTGCATATTAAATATTCTTCTAAAGTTGTGCATAATACAGCAACCAAGCAAGGCTTATGTCCTATTGTAGAAGTTCTTCTATCCTGATCTTTCTACCAACAAAACAGACCATCATTTTCCAGATGTCCCCCAAATGCCTTTTTCCAATTACGGATAGTATCATTCAATGCCGTGACTCATATTACCAGAACTTGGGCATGCATCATACAGCTCAGGTCCTGGCAAAACAATTTCCTCTATAGGGAAAAAAAACACCAAACCTTTATCATCCTCCAGCAGCAACAAAGCTTTTAAAAAGTGATAGGAAAAAACCCAAAACTTCCAGGTTTTCTGAGCGATACTGAAGGGAAAGTCTGGAGGTAGTCCGCAAAAATCTGGACAATATGCATGTAAAAATATTTTTGAATATTGCCAGGCTGATGGTCCTGGTTGGTATGTCTTTCTGTCAGGGAAAAAAAACCTTGAGGGAATTGCAACTTGAAAATTTCCCATCTGAAGCTCCCTTTAGCCCCAGCCTTTACCATCTAAGAAGCACTAAAGACCAAAATCAACTGCTTAAGGATATTGTTGAACTATAGAGTACTGGGGCATTTAGCCTCTCCTGCAGGTAATAAGACCTTGAACTTCACTGAAAAGTCAGCTGGCAAATAGTACAAAGAAACTTGTCTTCTGGCTCATCCCTACAGTCAGAAAAGGTGTCTGTAATTTGTAACTCGTTAGTAATGTGTAATTCACACCACTGCAGCTTGGGAAAACGTTCACACAACCAGTTCCTTGCAAAACATTTGCTATTTTACACTCACTTTTACAACCACTCATGGCACAACATGTTTGTTCTGCAAATCGAAGTACCAGACAGACACATTAGAAAATAACTATAAGATTTAACAAACAGCAGCACGAATAACCAGAAATAATTTTGAAATATGAAGGATCTTAATATGTACAGTCTAACTACTCATTAAATGAAGGCTGTATGAATGTCTAGGCATATGTACTTACACAAAAGTTATTGGAACACAGTAAAGGAAGAAGAAAATGTAGTATATGACTGGTAGACAGAGGAAAATTTTCAATAAAGCAAGTAGCAAAATATCTCTTTCCTGAGCTTGGTCAAAATATACTTTAAAAATGTCCCGACATCAACAAATAGCTGGGAATGTAGTTAATAAAAACTGGAAATTGGGAATGCTGCATGATTTGCTGTAGTTACAAAAATGAAGAGTCACAAGAGCAATGAAAGGAAAAAAAAGAAAAAAACCCCACACAAACAAAAAAAAACAAAACCAAAACAAAACCAAACAACCCCCCCCCACAAAACAAAAACAAACAAACAAAAACCACTGAAAACCCACAACAAATCCCCTTCCCAAACTACTGGGGGCAGGGGGAGAGTGGGACCAAATCCCACAAAAACCTTATATAGCACAAAAATTATCTACATCTTACAAAGTAGGAAAGAAAAGAGGATAAATTTTCAGTGCATATCTGACATTTAGCTAACAAGCTTGGCAATCAACAAATTTTACTTAGTACAAAAGTCAAAAAAGGTATCCACACAGCATTACTTAACTAGTAGTATCTCCTATCAGGATTTTTATTTATATTTCTTTAAGTGCTTTTTTCTTATGCAAGTGTACAATTAACTTTTACAGAAGCAACAAAGAAAGTCCTCACTTAATCAAAAAAACCCCACATTTAAAATCCAGGGCTATCAATATTGCTCTCCAGTACACAAATCTTCATCTTTTCATGTTAACTCCTACAATGTACATAGGCACTAAAGAGAATAATTAAGACCTATTCTGATGCTACAATCCACTAGTACAAAGATGCACATTAGTATGTAACTTAGCTAGTTCATGCCATATTTGTGAGATCTGGCATTCCTATAGAAAACTGGCCTCATTTCACATGACAAACATCCCAGTTCAAGGCACCAAGATCACTAGGATTTTCCATCCTAGGGATGAACAAATCACATCCTGGCTGTATTTCTCTGAATCGTTATTTAATGCTTTACTAAAAAATAATAACAAACTTTACACAAAATAAGAAATCAACCCACTACTGTTTTTTCACTACTTAAACTTTAAGCTAGATGCTGATCTGGTTTTTTTCAGGCAAAAAGAATGAGCAGGGAAGTAGACAGCATGATGCCAACTGTTGCTTAGCAATACAACACTGCTATGCCAGTTCCCAGATTGTGAGCACAGGTTGTATGTATATGGTTCCCTTCCTACCAGCAATGTGGCATTTCAGAAAAAATTAAACAAGGCAGCCATTAGAGAGAGTCAAAATGTACCATAATTTTCCAGGAGAGAATGACACATGCTGGCTATCCTCATGACATTATCAGAAAGGAGGCATAAATAGCAGCTCCCAGTATTTTTTCCTTATCATAAGCAGCATTTCTTAATAGAACTTTATCGCTGTTTCTCTACTAGTTATCTTTCTCCTCCATGGGAAAGGCATGCAAAGGCATAACAGAAGACACAACCTGCGTGCATCACATTCCTCATGACTGTTTTACACACCACAGCACTAAATACAGTTAATTCCTGAGAACAAAACCAGTAAGATCTCAGCCAAAGCTTCATCAAGTAGCACCTCTCCCACTGCTCCTGGAAGGACTGTCCTACACTCAGCTGATGGAGGTAGCATGGGCCGCCTTCTCATTTCAAGCCAAAATTTATTTATAGCCAATTTATTGCTGTTTAATCTTCTGTCAACAAGATTTATACATTTTCATCCTCAGGGTTCATACTCACACCTCATTGGGAATGCAGTGAGAAACCCTTATCAGTTTTAATCTTCACAGGCTGGACAAGACAAATCTTAGTCTCGTTTCCACAAAACAGGATGACCCTTAGAATTCTTCCCTCTGTTCAGTGTGTTGAACTTTACTTCAAAAACTTTACTTTCTCTTTTTTTAATGAATGCTTGGAACAATGACATTAATATCTGGCTCCATGGTCCACAGGCCAGCTGCTGGTCAGCTGGATAACACAAAGACCAAGTGACAAACTCTGGTTTACAACAAACACTGTCACAAGTTGCTAAATAGCACACCTTGTGCATCAAGTGATCCCATTTACAGCTCCCTGAGCTCAGGGTTACCTAGTTGATACTCATCTTTGGAGCTGCTTTACAGTGCCTGCACTCATCTCCATCATTTCCAGCTCAGCTGCTGGTTTCTGAGATGGCACCACCTTAGGTACTCTGCTGTCAGGTTAAGGCTAAGAAAAAAAGGATGGAAGGAAACAACTGATCATGATCAACTCAGTCAGACTGTCATCAGGATCACCTGCAGATGTACTTTTGTCACTAAAGCTGTACCTCAGCAGCTCCTTTAAAACATCCCCTTGCAGGTAGTGACTCAGAAAACACAGAACTAGATGTTCATCAACATGACAGTTTGATAACCACAAGCCAAAAGCAGCTACGAGCAGGAAAAGCAACAAGTAAAACCCTTTCCAACTTATTTTCTTAGAGAGCTCATTACAAAAAACCTTGTAAACTCAACTGCCTTATTCATTGGTACTTCTAAAAATAAGATAGTCAAGCCTGACTAAGCCCTAAACTCACACCAGGCCTAAGAAAGTCACTGAAAAATTGTTTTAGTTCAACTTTTGGTGTGAACAGTCACTCTTGGGAATCAGGTTTCACACAGCCACCTTGTTTCCAGTCCATTTTCTCACCAGCAGAGTACTAACACCCAACAGCAGGTTCCACTTGGCCCAGCTCTCAGGTCTGAAGCAACCTAAGCACAGAATTCACAGTCCCTTCACTGGAGTGACTGAATGTTTCTCTCAGGATTAGCTGTTTCATTTACACAGAAATTAATTATAAATACTTGAAAGCATGCAAATCCAGAAACATTAAATCAAACATTACTACTATAAAAGGGACTCCAAATAGATGGTTTAAATTAAATTCTTTATTAAAGCTACCTCAAAAATAATAGTCAAAGGAAAGATAGGTGTTTGAAAATCCCAAAACAAAGGGAAGGTTGGAAATAAAGCAGGAAACCACACTTTAAAAAACACACATTTTAGAAAGACCACCTAAAGTGGTTCACCAAGTAGAAACAACATATCTCTTTTTTTGAATATTTCAAAATCAAGAGAAAACAAAACTGGAATGTTGAATAACAAATACAAATTCCTAATCCAAAGTCCCACCAGTGGTTCTAAAGGGAGTGACAAATGCTCTCCTCTTCTGAGGTTTACCACACCTCTTCCTTTCCCTCTCTTAGTTAAAATAATCTTCCAAATTCCCAATCCTTAGATGAAGGGTCATTATCACTGTGAAATGTTACTGCAGCATTTTTTACATTACTAAATATGGAATAATTAGTCTGTTTCATAGAACTTAGTTCACTGAGCTAGTTTGCTATCAGGATCAGTTGCTTTCTTCTAAATAAACCAAAAGCATCAGCTCAATTAAAAAATCTGTTCACTAGAGAAGACTTCTGCAGGTAGCATTACAAGACGTAAACTGGACTCACAAGAGTTGTGCACATCAAAACTCCATAGGATCATAATCAAAAGTATAAATGAATCTGATCATGCAACAGAAAATTGCAAGAACTTGCTTCACACAACATGGTATTTCTGATGGTCTAAATTCTATAAATATTCTTAGATTTTGATTTGATTCAACTTGGCACACACTGAGTAGCCACCTACTAAAGAACATGTTTTACATGACCACACGTTACTTCATAGAGCGCCATTCACTTAATTCACTGAGGATCTTCTTCTAACAAAGAGAAACTGCTGGTTTGCATACCAAAGATACCAGGT